TATTAGGGTCCAAATACGCTGCTACAGTACGAATCACCAACTTTCGAGCTTCAGCCGTTTCATAATTGTTTGGGACTTCTGGTTGATCCTCAGTTTTGACGGTCGTGGTGCTTATTCATCTGCTTCTCACGTGTTTTATAAAAACCGCCTCCAAATTTCATGAAGACCTTTAGCTGCCGAGGTCGACGTATTTTTGACATTTTTTGAAATTATTGGATCTCTCGCGACTTTCCACCTTCGTTTTCCCTCTACATACGCGTGCTCTCTATGTTTTTATTGAAACAGTTACATGCACTTCTTTGGTTTTTTGCTTAAACTCTGTTAGCTTCGCAAAAAAATGCTTCCGAGCCCTCGCTCGACCCCGCTTCTACAGTAGCGGACAAAAGTATTGGGATTTTTTTATTTCTGACAAAATCTCCCGGGAGATTTAACACGAGGTGAGCTCAAAAGCTGGTCCCTAGTAGAATTTAAGATGCTTTTTCATATGCAATGCGTTAAAACCGGCCACTCCATAGTACAAGAAAATTAGGAGAAAATTTCAAAAAGCTCGGCGACAAAAGTATTGGGATTTTTCTTTCTGAAGCCTAGAAAACGAGCAGGTAACCTTGTAGAGCTCTTGTATTGATGCAAAAGCGCCAACTACAGTTGAAATTTGCTTTTCTAATAGACGTTTCCATCCCGGAAACGCTGAAAATTTTGAAAATTTCGATTTTACTATGAAAATTTGCTTTTTTGCCTTTAACTCTTTGAATATAGTTTTAATGCCGGTTTGCTCTATGTATTCGGATAGAGCAGCTTAAGACGAGCATTTCGATATGCTATAGTCACTAGGAAACACGCTCCTCGCAGAGTTACGTAGGGCCTAATCTTTCAGTCGGCGGCGTCCGTAGTAAAATGGGGGCCTATCTATGGAAAGGACACCAAACCCCGTGCACAGAACTGGGCCGTCTCTATCTGCGGGGCATGGCGAAAAACTATGGACATGCATATACGAAAATGATCGCCCGAAGTGCTCTATCCGAATATATAGAGCAAACCGGCATTAAAACTATATTCAAAGAGTTAGAGGCAAAAAAGCAAATTTTCATATTAAAATCGAGATTTTCAAAAAATTCCTCAGCGTTTCCGGGATGGAAACGCCTATTAGAAAAGCAAATTTCAACTGTAGTTGGCGCTTTTGCATCAATACAAGAGCTCTACAAGGTTACCTGCTCGTTTTCTAGGCTTCAGAAAGAAAAATCCCAATACTTTTGTCGCCGAGCTTTTTGAAATTTTCTCCTAATTTTCTTGTACTATGGAGTGGCCGGTTTTAACGCATTGCATATGAAAAAGCATCTTGAATTCTACTAGGGACCAACTTTTGAGCTCACCTCGTGTTAAATCTCCCGAGATTTTGTCAAAAATAAAAAATCCCAATACTTTTGTCCGCTACTGTACGTACACTGAGCTTCGACGACTTTCTGTAAAATTCATGCTCCTTCAGGGCTGCATAATCACATCCATAAATCGTCCCAACATGCCAATTACAGGTTAAAACAAATAATGCAGAACTTCTTGAGTGCCATCAAATCAATCACTTTCTAAGCCCAACCGATTTTCGAATTTCTGAAGCTTCCGTCTTCGCTTTCTTTGCCTAACCGCGGCTTGTTCCAAATTTTCCTCTTCTTAAAAACCGTTTTACTAACCTAAGGCCACAATTTCAGGATGATAATATTTATATTCCTGGCAGTCAGCCAATTTTTTGCCCATCTCCACCATCAGCACGACAAATTTGCCGATATGCGTGTGCCCGGAAGTGAAATGCCCCGTGTGTCCAGGTACTTTAACCAATAATTGCCATAATCACGTTCAGACTGCTCGAATCAACGCTTTGTCCGAATTCTCGGGTCGCCGAGGAGCAGCCTAGCGCCGAGGTTGATCAGATATAATCATAATCTTACCTGAAAATTCTTAGAGCCACACTTCCGAGCAAATGGCCGATCGTCGAAAATTCGGCTAGGGTGAGTGGTTGATCGCAAGCTGGCAGAGTTTCTTAGAGAATCTAGACAGAGCCGAGTTGATCTTGGTCTTTAGGCCACACCGCTCTCACAAAAATCCGCCGACCCACTCCCACGAGCCGAGCAGGTACGCCCAAGCTTGGCGCCGAAGGCCATTCTCCGGCCAATCACGCTCGCGCCCGCAAATGCCACCAAGCGAGCCGTAGCCTCAGGTTGGTGATGAACAATTCGGAGCAGTATCTATCGGTACTTTGGCCTTCAATGATAGCGACTATTTTCAGCCCGATCCGCCACAATCTCGGTCCGAAGAGCGTCGTCCACATGGGGTCATACGTTCACCTGGCCGGCTACGGGTGGGTACCAATTACGGGGAATCCGTCACTTTTTCGGAAACCCTACCAGAACATTTATTTCAGAAGCTCGCCTACGCACCATCGTCCCGAAAACGACCACAATGATGCCTAGCGGAGTGGCGCTATCGCTGCAGTAAGCTGGTTTCTTCCAGCCCTAAGATTTTCCGAAAAAACCACTCCCAAAACACTCGAGAAAAATGTAAACTTTCAGAAAAGATGATTACGATCTAAACGAGGAGGAGGTGTTCTTGGCGAAACGGTTGGCCGAGGAGCAGGCTAGGCAGACGACGGTAGGTTAGGATCGAATCTGGTCGTTTTGGGATAATATTGCGGTTTTACAATGTGAAATAGATGATTTGCCAGCTAGAGCTCCAAATTCTGTACAAGTTCAACCACTTAGCAATTGAAGAGCGATGGTGTTCTTTTCGAAAAACCTCCTCAAAGTTGACGGTTGTCAAGCAAAATAAAAATAAACAAAACAACAACAACAACAATAAACAATAAATAAACAAAACCATCCCTTTCGCATCCAATGTTTCGCAAAGTTCGTATCATCAGGAAGTTTTTGAGCGTTGAACCGTGGCTAACATTTTGGGGGATTTTGAGTTAGCTATGGCAATGTAATGGAAAAAATCATCATCTAAAAACACGTCCTCGCCCGCGCCTCCTGTATCGTAACGGCTATTCCAGACGCTATCTGAATTCCAGACCACCACCCCGACGACGACCACGACGAGCATGACGGCTAGTACAACTACTACAACCACCACGACAACGACTACAACCAGCACGACTACTACCACAACTACCACGACGACCTCGACGACTACTTCTACCACGACTACTACTACTACGACAACGGCTACCACTACCACGACGACGACACCAACAACGACGCCAGCGACTACTACGACGACTACAACCACAACAACTACCACCACCACCGAATCCATCGAAATCGAGGAGTTCGACAACTCCAACGACGTCAAGCGCTCCCTCCAACAACCCGAGGAATTTGAGAAGATGTTCGTCCCCGTCGATGATGTCTCCACGATCGCCCCAGAATCCACCACCGTCTTTGTCACGACCACCACCGCCTCGTCCCGGTTGATCATCTCCAGCGAAGCACCCACGTTGCCCCAGATTGAGAGGAGTAACTCTTATAGCTCGCCAAAAATTTGATTTTTTTTTAGTCTCACCATCCGGCTATGCGTCTAGCAGCCTGTTTGGCGACCAAACACACACCTTCGACCCGACCAAGTGCAACAACGAGGCGTGGATGCGACTGCTTGAGGCTGTGGGTTCTGGGGTTGATCGTTTACTTTTCCGATTTCCAGGAAATGAAGGAAAACGATGCGACGGCGTCAAAACTCAGCATCTCGAGGGAGTTGGGTGACGCGGCGATGGAGCTCGTCAGTGTGTTGTGCTCGAAGACGACGATCAGGTGAGGGAGAAAGAGATATAGAGAGAGAGGGCGAGCGAGAGAAAGAGAGAGAGAGCAAGGGAGAGAGGCGGTGAGAGAGGTGAGAGGGGCGAGAGAGAGAATAGAGAGAGAAGGGAGAGAGAGAGTGAGAGAGAGAGAGAGAGAGAGGGAGCGATAGTTAGACGTTTGAAAGCCGCGTAAAATATTTTTAGCTTCCGCCTCGTCGCCACCCACTATTGCCAAATGACGACCGGCGATGTGACTTGTCTCATTTTCCAGCCCTAATTTAATTCTTCTTAATTTTATATGAATGCAAGCCCTATATATATTTTCCTTTGTGCCATATCAGGTTTAATTTCCGCCTCGATCCGGGTCGATTTTCGCTTAGCTTTACCCCACTATTTATAGCCATATACCTCGGCGTTTCTTTGTAGTTTGTATTCAGCTAATGCAGCTTGTAATCTATAAATGCTATAACCTTTGAACTTTTCTTTCTTTTATGCCCTTTTTCGTTGTTTTGGAGTTATTATATATCTATATATTCTGAAAAACCCCTGGAATAAAACCACATCATATAATCTTTTTTACCGGATCCTGCCCCCCCGGGGAGGAACATCTGTTTAAATTTTTTATTTTTTGATGAATGAGGGGCGCGGGCGGGGTAAAAAAGGGGGAAATTCAAGATTTTTTCTTTTAGGCCCAACCCCACGCGTTTTTTTTGAGTTTTCCGGATGGAAAAATTATGTTGGGGGTTTTTGGGCCTCTTTTTTTTTCGTTTCGTAAGGTTTTTTTTTTTTTGTGTTTTTTTTGGGTTGTTTCCGGTCCCGGCCGCGGGTTTGTTTTTTGTTTGCGTTGTCCGTTTCTTGGTTAGAGTTTTTGGTGGGCAATTTCCAGATTGCTTTTTTTTAACTGTATTTATAAAATGTGTAGTTTGTAGTTTGTAGCCTATAGCCTGTAGCCTGTGCTTTATAACTTATTCTGCCAAATTTCACCTGCTGACTATAATAATAATTTAAACATTGTATAAATGCATTCATTTAAAGATTTATACAAACCAAAAACTAAAATTTCAATCAAAAATTATATCAATTTGTTTTTACCCGTTATCTGAGAACACCGGCCTGTCGAAAGTCGAAAGAAAATGGATATGAGGATGATAAGTGAGACTGAAAAAAAGTAAAAAAAGCAGAAATATAGGCGCAAAATGGATAAAACGGATTTCCCTTAATACCGCGGGACCATTTGGAAATCCTTGTCGTGGCACTGTTGGCAGGGCTGTCGTCGCGACAGCGTCAGCGTGAGCAGGGGGACGAAGAAGAAGTTGGCGAACACCCAGGAGACCGACATCGACACGACGAGGAAGACGCCGACCTGGAAAAGTAACTATGACTTACAATGGTAGAAAGCTATTTGCAATCCCACTGAATTTTACGACGTCAAAATTTTGGCCTAGACACATTACGCGTTATAATAGTCTGTACCAACCTGGAAAAAGGCGTGCGTCTTGCAGAGCAGCATCGGCAGCCCGGCGATGATCGACGAGATGGCGGCGAGGAAGACTGGGCCCATCGCCAGCTCGGCTGTCCGTTCGACCCGGTGCATCGGGCACCCATCAGAGGGTAGAGAGGCACCGAAGTGGAGGGTGAAGTCGAACGAGAGACCGACGACCTGAAGCCGTTCAGATCAACGTTTTCTGTACGGTTTTGAATGGCGCTGCCACAAAATTGATGATTTGGTCAAAGCAAAGAAGCTAATTTTCATCTACCCCACGAAAGCGTAGAATCTCTTCACTCACCAGCACGAGAATGACCGCCTCCAACACCCCGATCGTCCACCCGAGCATCACCACGATCCCCACCGACACGATGATGATCGAGCAGATGGAGAGGAGACAGGCAATTGCCTGCCATCGCATCGCTATCGGGGCGAATAGCGCCACAACGGCCAGCGAGATCAGGGCGCTACTCTGGCAATCCGACACTATTGACCGTTGCAGGTCGAACCAGGTGGACATTAGATACCTAAAATCGAAAGGTTTATCGTAAATTGTCAGTCACTCAAAACGCACCATTCCGTGGTGTACCACCCGCCGTGGTCGAGCTGCAGGTTCTTGTCCAGCTGGCTGAACGACACCGAGAGGTTTCGGTAGACGTGCGCGTAGCTGAATCTCTCAAGATTGTCAAAATCTGCACTTTGTTGCTCACCGTAGCTTTGTAGGTAGCAATGCTGTGTACCCAATCAACCGAAAATCGTGCGCATCAAAGATTGGGGTGTCGTTGTACTGGGTGAAAATGTAGGAGGTCGAGTTCCGGAGGCAATAGTCGAGGTAGGTGCCCCGGAATAGGGGGGACGTGATGTTGCAGCAGACCAGGGCTGGTTGACATGCGTATCTAGGCCGGGTTGAAGCATAAAAAAGTTTCTTACTTGCTGCTCCAGGTCAGAAATTGTTCCGGCCAATACGGGGATGAGTGCTCGACGAAGTGGAGGGCGCGGATTCTGGAAATTTCGTTAAGGAAGTGAATTGAATAGCGACCGGAATACCGACGTTAAAAATCCCGACAACAGAAAGCTTGAGAGTTGTCGATATTTTTCACTTCGAATTTTGCCTCTCGGGTTCGGCTGTCATTTTCTAGCTGTCGGTATTTTGCCGCCTTCGCGAATCCTGGGATCTTTCTCTCCCTCTCTCTCTCTCTCTCTCTCTCTCTCTCGCTCTCTCGCTTGAAATACCTTTTTAGCGTCCTCGCCAACTGTTTCACATCCGAGACAGTCGCGAGAGTGAAGGTAGGGTCGTCTTCCAAAGGTGGATCGGTCAAATCGCGGAACCTGAATATATAGTTTGAACTTCCATAATTTACTTTTCTCAAAACCCTAATTTTGTACGATCGTTTTTTATGAATTTTGCTTTCAGAAACCCACATATCCGGCTGCTTGACCGGCTTGATACCCCAAACGAGCCGGGCATGCAGTGGGATGGCGATTTTCGCCTCAACAAACTCGAAAATCGGTTGTGCGTGGTTGTCATACCTAAAGGGCACTGAACCTACAGTACTATCGCTACAAACCACTCATGCGGATTATCAGAACGGAACAGCTGCAGTGGGTTGTATTTCGGGAGTGAGAGGTTCTCGAGGGATATGTAGAAGCAAGAGACGACCACCAGGGACAGGGACGCCAGCCAGACGAAGCGGCCCTAAAGTTGTGCGGAGTACGTTTTCTAGAGCTTGTTTTCTTAGGTTCTATTGCTTGGGCTTGGGTTAGGCTTAGGCTTAGGTTAGTCTTAGGGTTAGGCTTGGGCTTGCCTTAGGCTTGGGCTTCTGCTCAGGCTTATGCTAGGCTTAGGTAAATAGGCTTAGGCTTCAAGCTTAGGCTTTGGCTTAGGCTAAGGCTCTCGGCTTAGGCTAGGTTAGGCTTAGGCTTAGAGCTTGGGCGTAGGCTTAGGCTTCGACACATTCAGTCTCATCTGCTCAAAAATCCCTACCTGTATCAATACTTGCGGGAACACGACTTTGATCGACGTCGAAAAATACTTGGACAAGTCGGGCAGTTTTGGCAGACAGGAGAAGTATCTAAAACTCATTAAACCAGCAGTCTAAAGACGTTATACTTTTTCTGGATTATCAGGAAAGTGGGTAGGAAGGAGATAACCAGCACAAAATTGACGCACATCGTCAGCCCGGCGAAGAGACCGAAACAGCTGGAATTTTTAGATCAAGTATGAAGGCTAATGGCGCACCGAAAAACGATGACGTTCGAGAGGATGTTCACGAAAAACGGGACCGCCGTGGAGAAGGAGGTCAAAAACATTGTTGACGCCGTGTGAGCCAGTGCCTAAATTGAAAAGCTCATCGTTAGGTGTTCCTGAAGAATTTCCGCTAGCCTGCTTTCAGGTAAAACCAAGCACTTACCTCATAAAATGACTCCTCGTTGAGCTCGTCGGGGAAATGGGAGTGCAACAAAAAGGCATCGTCAGACCCGACGGCAATAAGGAGGACGAAGATCACCAGGTTCAACAGCGGAAAGTCCGGCGTGAAGCAGGCGTATATCGCCAGCGCGCACAGGACGGAGAGGAGGAGCTGGAAATCATGGTGTAACTGGTTAGTTACGTAGCTTAAAAACATGGCGTAACTGGATCGATTCTTGCTCGATCTTTAAATCGAAGAGTCGGATGCTACCTACTTGAATTTGGACAGCGAACATGTAGAGGATGCTTCTGGAATGGATGGCAACACAGCCGGTGACCAGGAAGGCAGCGATAAGGGAATAGAAGGAATCGGTGATCGCCGCGGAGAGTAGCCGATCCGTTTAAGTTCCATTAAGAGGCCTGAAATTGTATGATTATACACAATATAGCTAGAAAATTTCGGCTGATTTTCCTCAATTCTCTATCTCTCTCTCTCTCTCGCTCTCGCTCTCTCTATCCTCTCTCTCTCTCTCCCTCGTTCTCACCCACCCTTCATCTCAGCCCAACAGCTTCGGTATAATTCTTTATCGCAACTTCCAGATGATCGTAATCGGACAGCGGTAGCCAGATGTTTTGCGTCGCATAGCCTAAACTAACGCTACCCTCAAATTCCGAAAATCCATACCCATCCGCGTGAACACCGGCAGGAACGCGTTGACGTGAAAGGGCTGGGCTCGCAAGTTTCGGGGCAGAATCCGGTAGAAGAGGTCGGCCATCATCGCCGTCGAGCAGTTCCTCGGGATCCCAGGGCAGGAGGTATCAGAGGCCTAATTCTTGGTGGAAGGATCCCCGGACTACGCAAATCACGCTGAATCAATTCCCGATAACCAGGCATCCCGACATCACAAAACCCGAAGGACAAAAAACCGACAACCCAGGCCCCGGAGATAGAATCCCGCAGCCAGAATCTTGTCAAGACGAAATCCCGACAAGAAAAAATACCGATATGCCCAGCTTCCTGACAACCAGAATTCCGACAAGACAAATTCACGAAGGACAAAATGCCGACTCCAGAATCCCGGCAAGACAAGATCCTGCCACGACAAACAGTTTAAATTTTAAGCCCGAGAATTCAGTTGGGTTTCGGTTTATGGGTTGTCGGCATTTTTCGTCCCACAGTTTTGGCTGGCGGTATTTGCAGTTATTAAGTACTGCACCGTAACTTACCATTACAATTCTCCCCACACGCCAGCCGACAGTCGATAATACGCTGCCGGTACGGTACGCAACTTTCCACAAGTTTACGGACCTGAAAGCATCATTGACGTCCTGTTCGAATTCTTCTTTTCCAAGCTAACTAATTTACATCCCGGAAGCCCGTATTTTTAACCACCCACCACATCCACATCAGCCGTCGTCAACTCGGTGCAGTTCACCAGAAAATTCGGCGAGATACAGGCGAAAAAGTTGGCCAGGCTGTAGACGTTTCTACAATCAGAAAACAGTTAGATTGTTAGGAGAGGGTACGGTATTTCGTAAGGCATACCAGGCGCCAGTTTCATACCTGTACGGGGTATAGCTCTCGAATGGGCGCACGGCGTGCGAGATTCCGGCGTGGAGGCCGCAGAGCCCGCTTCCAAGAACCCCATGTCCCAGATGGAGCCGTAGCTCGGCACCTCGACAACCAGTTGGGAGAGGTGGTTCACTAAACGAGACGTATTCGCTTTTTACTGAAATTCTATGAAATTCTGCGATAATGCGACTTTATCAAGCTTTTTTGTCGATTAGTGCGTTTTTTTAGAGCACAATTTCCCAAAAGTTTTTTGCTAGTCTGCGGATGCACCGTTCTGAGTAGCAGTTCCCCAAGAATCTCTGCTGGCTTCCTGTCGTTGTTTGATGGTATAAAATCACTGAGAAACGTGAAATTCATGGTTTCTGGATGGGGTCCTGCGGAAAAGGGCCGCTAAGTTTTTCCACTGGTTTCCTAAATAATCCCTTCCGGGGTTTGATTAGCGGGTCACGGTACTTCTATAAGTGACTATTAGCGCGAGGTTGTGGAACGCAGTATCCTTAGGAATCGCCGCTAGTCCTCCTGCGGTTTTACATGTCTATTAATGCAGCAAGCTAGATTCCCATTTCCGAAGGAATCTCCGCTAGCATCCCTGGTTTTTAAGGATCGGTATAACTTTTTAGTATTTGCTATAAACCCACTCAATGGCAGCGGCGCCTCGTAGCATGGGATATTTGTACAAGCCGACATCAAATTATCCGTCCAGCCTCGCCTTTTTCGGTTTTGGGCCTAAATACGTATTTTCCAAAGTACCGTACCCCTTACCGCCTGACTCGCCATTATCGGGGCTTCATCCTTGGCGTTAAATGTCTCCCTTTTTTCCCGGATGGTTGTATTTGCGCCAAGCTAGAAAAAGTAAGGAAATCATAGATTTTATTTTGGTCAGATTTTATATAAGGAAAAGCCTACCGTCACTCTATTTGTCGTTTGGAGGACGAAGGAAAGTTTTTTCCAGGCCTGACGTTGGCCGGAATATTCTGTGTTTGAGGTATCGAAGCCCTGAAAATAGGTTATAGGTAATTTAACGTACCTTAATAGACTTGATTTGGTTTTGTAGAATTAAATTTTTTCAAAAAAATTATGATAGAGCTTATTTCGTTTCATATAGTTTTTCTAAACTTTTAAAAACTTTTTTCTTGCCATTTTTAACAAATTTTGTTTATTTCTAGCAGTCTAAATGTTCTTGTTTTTTATTATGGTGATTTAGCCGTTTTTTGTATTTTTCGAAATTAATTAGCATATTAAAGAGTTGGACAAATATGCGACACGTTTTTCATATTCTCAAAAACGTTTGAAAGCTTTTTGTGGTCAGCTTACGAAATTTTTCTACTTTTTAAACTCTGTAAGGTTAATTTAAGCGTAATACCCAATTTCAAGATAATATCTAGCTTCCCAGTTCCTTTAAAATTTGCCCTGAATCCCCGTATTTTCGATTCACCCAGAGATCACTGGAATCGAGGGGTCATGGACTCGGTTCCGCGACCCTTTTATGGGTGCTGGCCTGGAGCCCCGAGGCCGAATCGGTTGAATAAGCTTCATCCCCTCCCTGCCTGAGGGTCATCCCTCCCCTCACCCCTCAACCTATTTATTTCACTGTTCATATGTTGTATAATCTGCGGAATGATTCTCTGCCCCTGGGCTTCGGCCATGTGGCATCATGTAATACACCAAACAGCCGAATTCAATAGGAGTAAGATATATGGATTGGAAGAGAGCAGGGAGCGAGAGAGA